GACGGGTGGGACCAAGGTTTTTCACATAGTCAGGGACACGTTTTCCGGAGCTAGGATAGCCTATCCCATGGTAAACAGGACAGCTAGCAATCACGCCAAGAACTTTAGACATTTCCTGGGGCTAAGAGCAAACGAACTAGCATCGTGTGTCCTTATCAAAATGGACGAAGCAGGCGAGCTGGAACAAGCCGCACACGAAGTAGGCTTGCTCCCCGAAGTCTCACTCCCTAATAGGTGGCCGCATAACGCCACGTTAGAGCGAGACATTCGTGAGGAGAAAGAATGTTGTCGTGCAATTCATATGCAATCCGGGTTGCCTTATGAGTTTCATACCTACTCGTTTCCATATGCCTGCATGTCGATGTCGTTTGATCGTCCTTCGTTGTCAGACCCGGCCAAGACGCAATGGGAAGCCCTCACTAGGTCTAAGTTTGATGGCGTTCGCAGATGCTTCGGTCAACTAGTGTATTACCGAGATCGCAAGGTAGGCAAAAGAACTCTCGATCCAAACATGTCGCCCGGTCTCTTCATGGGATGGCGCATCGAGTCGGGTTTTCGTTACCGTTATGTGGCCAGAATCATGGATTACATGGATTTTAAAGTTAGTAAGCACCCCAATGTGCTAGATGTGCCTGAGGCAGAAATCTACACAGAGGAGGGACCACCCATTTTTCCCATGGCATCAACAAAGTTGCGGCATCTCCATGGTGGGTTCATTAGGCATTTTGGACGACATTGCCAAATTAGACATGCCGGACTATCCCATGAAGGAGGTTCCTTTTGGGGAAGAAGGCGAAGGCGCTGCGCCGCCGACGCCCGCAGGGTCCAAGTCCCGAAGTGTGTACATAACACTAGATCGAGTAATCCGATTCAGCGAAACGCCTGGCTGCAAGGCCTGTGAGCGAAAGACTCGTCATCACACAGCTGAATGCCGAAAACGCTTTGCACGCCTTGTTGAAGAAGAGAAGGCCGATCTTTTGGCTAAGCGAAGGGAGGGGATCACTGTTGAGGAGATCCCTCCTGTAGCCCCGGAAGACCCGACTCCTCCACCCCCGGAGGAGCCAGAGGAAGCCAGTGCTACACCGACAGTAATAGCCGGCCTTTCGATAACCCCGCACACCACATATAGGACCCAACTAGTCTATACTAGACCCCAAAGTGGAGTGCCTGTGTTTGGAATGCCAACAATAACCGAAGCCTCACAAGTAGGACAAGTTAAGAAAAAGAGAAGTAGAGGTAAAAAGAGACCACCCAAGTTCAACCGCTGCATGTTCGAGTTTGCGTGTGCCCCCGATTCTCAAATGCACAAAACATTTTTAGAGCTCGGGATCCCACATGTACCCCTAAGCAAGGAACACCTCGACCTGACCAACACCGACATGCAGGACCAGCTCCATAACCACTTGGAGACCTGCGAGGAGGTGCCAGACCTGTGGGCATCAATACCCTGTACGTCAGGTTCCCCATGGCAAAGGGTCAACAGGTCCAAAGGAGGTGCACGATTCGCCCGTGTCCATGCACAGCAGATTCGTGAATCCAAGCGACTCTTTGCTGAGTTCGAGAGAAGCGCAGGGATTGTCCTTAGCAGGGGGGGCACTGTAACCTTTGAATGGCCAAAGGGCTGCGAGAGTTGGAGCCGTCACGACGTCCAGACCTTCTTTGAGTCACATCCAGAATTCCAACAGGTGGAGTTTGATGGTTGTGCAGTAGGAGTTAAATCCACTAAGGATAGACCTATTAAGAAGACATGGAGGCTCATGACCACAAGCCAACGCATCGTAGATGCATTTTCGCAGCATAAGTGCACGCATTCCCCACACGAGCATGATCACGCAGTTGGGTCTCAGACTGCAAAGACCGCCTTTTACCCTCCACAAATGGTATGCGAAATAGCCAGAGCTTTATACCCACAGAAGGTTAATCTAGCTCCAGCACCAGCCATGCCATGCGTAGTCCCAGCCGCTGCCTCTCAGGCGCAGGATGAGGAGCGCAGGGTGAAAGAGCATCCTTAAAACACATCTCCGCACTTGCGGGAGCCGATGCATTTGCATTAGCCGTCGAAACCGATGAAGTTGCAAGCCAGATGGCGGAAAGCCTGATGGAGCTAGAAACTCTCGTTCGAACTGCATTTGATATTCCTGAAGACCCTAAACATAACGGTAGAGTTCACGCCATGGTAACTAAGTTGCTCTCTAGAGCAGAGATGTTGGCAAACCCCAAAGCCGTTGAAAAAGTTAAGGAGGAAGCGACATCCCTCACCGACATCGGTACATGGGATCTTGATTCCGTTCAAGAGTACGATGCAGTTAAGGCTGAAGCAAAGGCTAGCAAAGTGTCCGTACACTTTGGCCGCTTAATGACTATCGCCTCAATTAAATTTTGGGAATTAGCTGAACACCTTCACAAAATGAAGGGGCGAATAGTATATCGCGGCGATTGTGCACGCGACGAGATCGGCGTCGCCGCCGTCTACGAGGAGTTGGGTGCAAACCCAACATCCGTACAGGGCTTAAACGCCTGCCTAGCCTACGGCTCCCTACCGGGACACGCATGCACGGCGGCAGACGCCGTGAAAGCGTACGTCCAAGCCTTTCTCAAGAGTAAGTATAAAACGTGGATCGAGCTTCCACCAGAACTCCGCCCGGAGTGGTGGAAGGGAAAATTCACCCGCCCAGTTGTACTTCTTGTGAGAGCGCTGTATGGACACCCCGATGCAGGCGGAATGTGGGAAAACCACCTAAAGGGGATTTTGAAGAAGATGAACGGTGAGGAGACTCCTGAGTACCCCGGAAATTTTTATTTCAAGGGAACGGGCCTCATGCTATCTACGTATGTAGACGACTTGACATTATCCGGACCATCCGAGCACCACGCTCCGTTCTGGAAGCAATTAATGTCAGAAGTCAACGTAGAGCCTCCCGAAACCATTTACAGAATCCTTGGAAGAAACCATGTTTACGCCAGTTTCGATAAAGTTCAGGGTGAAGAGAACGCTGCTTTAGGCGCGGCCCCAGATGCATTGATTTTCGACATGAAGGACTATGCCCAACAGACCATAGACCTTTATAAAAGCGTAGCTAAAGTCGATCAAATCAAGTCTGCACAAACTCCCTTCATCCCTGACGGAACATGGTCAAAGGAGGACGAGGACTCTCCTGGAGAACTCGCCCCCAAAGCATGTTCAATACTAATGAAGGCCCTTTGGTTGGCCCGCCTGTCTAGACCGGATATCCTTCTGCCCATCAACGACTTAGCAACTAAGGTCCAAGCCTGGACCCGAGTGCACGATAAGAAGTTATTAAGGCTAATCCAATACCTCCAGTACTCGTTAGACTACAGACTGACCGCCTCTTGCCAAGACGATCCGAAGGATCTCAGGCTTGAGCTGTATGTTGATGCGGATTTCGGAGGCGATTCCGGTGACGTGAAGTCAACCTCAGGCGGCTTCCTAACACTGAAAGGTCCTAACACCTTTTTCCCACTTGCGTGGATCTCGAAAAGGCAGACATCCACTTCACGCTCCACCACGGAGTCAGAAGTGGTAAGTTTGGCACACTCTTTGTACCAGGAGGGCATACCTGCACTCCAGCTCTGGGAAAAGCTCTTGCAGAGGCCGGTGAACCTAGTTATCCACGAGGACAACCAGGCCACTATTATAGTCGTTCGTAAAGGGTATTCCCCCAAACTTCGACATATCGGCCGCACGCACAAGATTAACCTCTCGTCCCTAAAAGAGTGTCTCGATGACCCATGCATCAATGTGCAATACATCGACACCAACGAACAGGCCGCCGACATCTTTACTAAAGCTATACCACCACAAAAGTGGTACAAGGCTTTATGCCTCCTAGGCATACGTACTGACATACGCGAGCCGAAGCCATCCCTCAGGGATCGAAGCTTTTCGATAGGAGCCGATGTAGTTGCCAAAACCGCTGCTCAATGCGCGGTAATTCATGCATGTACAGCAACACATGACACGCCAAAACGGCGAGGGGGGAGTCAAGAAAACACGGACAAACGTGACCCCTAACTTGTCATGTCATGTGTTACTTGTACAGGCAAACACCCGTGTCACTCCGACACATTTTGGCTCAAGAAACGAGCGCGCTGCCGCTCGCTTCAGCGTCCGTCACGCCGATCGCCCGATCGTCGCGCCGCCACGCATTCGTGCATTTCGTGCAATTCGTGTTGTGTGTTCCTAGGCTGCCGTAGGTGCTCCTTCGTCCACACCCCATAACTGTACACTACGGGTACCAAGTGTTCTAAAACCCCCCGCTGTGTACCGACCCGACAAAGGGTCATCCACTCCATTGCATATCTTGCGGTAACCCTCCCCATCAATAGATTGTGGTGGTTATTCCTTGATATTCCGGAGTCCTTATCCATTTCATTTTCTCCAAGCACAGTTTTTGGTTGATTACCGCGCCACTTCTCCAAGCATC